TATATATATATATATATATATATATATATATATATATACACACACACATTTAATTATACATTAATATTATGTATATTTTATACAATTATATATGACACATTTTTAATTAATAAATCAAATAAATTTATAATATAATTTATAAACTATAATAAATACATTCATAAATATTTATAAATACATATACACGTACACATACAAGTACATAATTGCAAATTCAATTGTTATGATTAAAATATCATAAAATTGAAATTTAATTTATATAATAATAATAATAATATACATTAATGCATATATTTTTATATTAATATAATGAAAATTAATCCATGCTCACAACAGTTATGTAGATAACTAACGTCCTTTTTTTGCTCGGTTGAAATCAGAACTTATTTCACATTGATTATTCATTACACTCTCAAATTTATGTTCACACTATATTGATATTTAATATTGTAAGGATGAATGACGTGTCCTTCACTGACTCACCGACTGATCACTGTCTCCATTATTTACCCTTATAATATAGGATTAATATATGATTTATCAGCAGCTACGGTGAGGTGATCACCTCACTTACATCTGAATAAATTACCATCTCATTCGATCATCTGATTCAAAGTGAGTCAAGCAAATCAGCATATATAGCCTATATACTACTGCCTGGACTGATGACCTCCCTTGAATATTATAGGAACGATCACCATGGCAACAACACAGTGGAGACCTGACAACTGATGCACTGGTGATGTCAAGTTAACTGAAGCATACAGAAAAACACACAAGTACACACGATTAAAACTACTAAAACAACACAAACACTCATTTACTTATTTACAACTTCATTTTGAGGTTTTGGTCAGAATTAAATTACATGCACAAGTACAACTGTTAACCAGAACAAGTACTAAACAATGATAAAATAGAATAAACTAAATAAAAATATAGAATAAAGCAAACGTAAACTGGCCTCGATTATCTTAAACGTCAGTATTATGAAAAAACACCCATAATTTAGACAGTGTTGAAGAAAAAAATATATATTATCAATAATAATAATAATAATAAGATTAATACTAAATCTGCTACATTGAAATAGTCTCCTTATGAAACTTCAGATATGCATTAATGTATCCCTGCATGACTATTGCATAAATTAAGAATAAATGAGCAGTAAAGCATTCAAAGCATCAGTGCGCCACCCAGTGTTGAAAGAAGGAATAGCAGGAAATTCCCACATGATTGTGCACTTTCCAGTTTAGAAACATTCCCGGATAGAAGGATGATAAATACAAATAGCTTGTAAACAAATAGTCCATAAACTATTAGAGTATTTTTGGTAGGATAACCAATATTAAAGACCTACATACGCTCTAAAGTGTGCTAGAGGTATATCAAATATAAATAGAATTACTATGTACAGAAATAGTCTTTTTTGGGGGGATTATGAAAAACTGTGAATGTCCTGACATCCACTTCGAGTCATAAAATGAAAACTTTAATGGTCCAGAGACTGGTGCTGGGTCATTTAGGTCCTAGGTTTGGGGGAGAGGTCAAAGTTGAAGGTTTAGATTGCAATGCAAGTGCAGGGGTGTTTGAGACAAACAGGTAAGATGCCGCGGTTAATCTGGTGAAACTCCACCAACTGCAGCAGATCTGTAAACAGTGTGACACCATCGTCCATAGTGTAGTACTGTTTATCCCCTTGCTCTAACTACAGAGATACAGAGAACAAGAAAGAGAGATCAAGATGAAAATATCTCGTGTATTTCAACTATCCACAACCTGAAGCACAGCGAGACAGAAAGACTTACGGGAATGATGAGGTAGTGTTTGGTCTTCAGTTTATAACACAAGGACAACACAAAGCACTGCGCGTGCAGCTGACTGTCACGAATCAAAAACATCCTGCAGACAGGAGAAACCTGTATAAACAACTTTACAGTGCAAACGTACATGATACACAAAAAAATCTGATCATTCTTACCCATCCACCTGACCCTGCTCCTCCAATAGCCTTTGAGCTTCAGTTCGAGACACGCCCCCATGGAACCACGGCTGAACCCGATGAACCGCTGTAGATACACACATACAGAAAACTTTTAGTAATGACAGATTCTTTCTCGTTGATAACATTTTACATGATGTCAGTGTGGACGCGAGACACTCACCGGACAGATGTGACCCGTGACCGTTGGTGGGTAAACTGTGACGCAACGCTTCTCTCTTCTGAAATACAAAAACACCCCATTAAAGAAACATCCAAGCAGATGAGCAAATTATTTTATCAACTTGGGGTTTTTGGACCCCAATAATTGACAAAGATAAAATAGAAACAGATCTAATAATAATAATAATAATAATATATTAAATATAATATTAAAAACAAATATTTTAAATGTTGCTCTGGCCACCAACTGAAATAAAATAAGTTAAAAATACTAAAATGACAAACTATAAAATGAAATAAAAATAAATGAAAGCTATGTGTATATATATGTGCGGTCAGTCAAAAATTTTTTTTTACTAAATCGCACATTTCTTCTGAAATTAATTGCAATTAATCCCACCTAACAAGTTTTTAAATATATACTTTTATATTGCAATAATTTCACATTCAATCTTCCAACTGATGTAGAAACAACATAAATACAGTATATTTTTTATGTTTAATGGCATCTTTTTTTATGACTGAAGGTGAGTATCACTGATACCAATACTACTACTAATGTCTCAATTAATTTTTTTTTCTAATATTTAACCAGACTATATCCATTCAACATTACAGAATAATTGAGAGCAATCAATTTGAACATTTATTAGACTTAAAAAAACAACAACTTCTAATTTAAGTGAAATTAAAACTATCTTCACATAAACCCATTATAATACATGTCATATTTACCTGTGCTCTTCAGCAAGTAGGAAATATACAGAAATTGAATGAAGTTATCAAACTCTAAATTCTAGATTGAATATAGATGAATTCTTAAAACTTCAAAAGTGACTGATTTCCTCTTTTGTTCTTTAAAGAACAGACATCACAGCAGCTGGTTATGAGGTTATTTTGGCTGCTTTAAGAGCTGCTGCTGCTGAACATGACGCGGATCTGACACGCATCCTATTTTCTTACAACTCTTTACCTTTTCTGACCCACTAATGAGCTGAGGAGTTGAATCGAGTGTGTCAGATGAGGGAGACAGTGCTGCTGCTCCACGACAGTTTTGAAAACCACTGCATTTCAGAGACATGTTCTGAAATCTGACTCATATATAACAAATACTTACATGCACAGTTTAAGTGCAGCTTTAATCGCCTTTTTGGTAACTTCATGACTTAACATCATAACTACAACATTGCATGCTCGTAGTTTCATTTGCGCTTTGAAACATGAAATTATATACAGTGCTCTCCACTGCATTTGCGTGTGCAATTGAAGAGCACATGTTATGAGCACAGTATAATGGCTGACAGGACAGGAAAATATGTTTTTATTGACATGGCCTGACAACATCTCATCTGACCGCAGTTCACCGTTGTTCTACTGAAGCTCCTCATCACCTGTAGCTTTTAATTTTACACACATACATATATACATATATATATATATATATATACATACACACACACATACAAGGATGCATTAAATTGTTCAAAAGTGACAGCAATGACATTTATAAAGTTACAAATGATGCAAATAAATGCATTCATTTTTACTTTCCATTCAAAGAATCTTGAAAAAATGTTATTGTTTCCACAAATATATATTAAGCATTTTAAAATGTATTAAAATAGAAACTGTTGTTGTTGTTGTTATTATTATTTAAATATTGTTCTATTTTAAATCATAGTTTCTCTTGAGCACAAATACACATACACACCCGCCAGTTGTGTCCTTCCTCCTGCTCGGCATTCTGGGCCTCATGTGGGTTCTGAATCACTCGTCCGCCGCTCTTCCCTGAAAAATCCATGGCCACCATCGACTCCTCCCGGTCTGCATACTGACGACAACACATGTGTGAGAAGCTCAGTGAATCATGTGCATTTTCAATCTGTTCCTCACACAAAGCCAACATATGACTTCAGAATATAGTGCACAAGTTGTATGGATTACTTTTTTGGAGTTTGAGAGATGTTTTCTGTACCTTGGAGTCTTGTCGTGATGGTTTGTGAAGTCTGGCACTGGATTGGGAGAGCTGGTAGTTACACTGGAGCTGTTTCCCATGCTAAAACACACACACACACACACACACACACACACTGCAGGTTTCAGATGGAGCTAGTCCAGTGTTTTTTCTTAGTGAGTCTGTGTGTTCATATACCTTAAACAATCTGAAGGCCGTGATCCAGCACGTACGACTCTGCTCACTGTCGGCACACATCAGCTTCAAATCCTGACAGCGAAACCTGTCTTTTGAGGCCTACCGTGCATACACACACATTCATGTTCATTTAGCTGTCTACATGAGAAAATACTATAGACTTCTGATGCTGTTATGTAAAGGCAATTATAATTATTATAGACTAACTCAAACCCTAAAAGAAAACCTACTGCATTTAAAAAATTAACAAATTGCTTTATTTATGAATTGCTTTCATAAATTGTCACTAAAACTGTAACAAAATAAAACTATTAAAAAGTGTTTTTGTTAATGGAAATACAGCTAAAATAAAAATATATATTTAATATAATCTAATATAAAATATTAGATTAAAAACAAATATTAGGAATGTTGCCTTGGAAATTAATTTAAATAAAATAAGTTGAAGATAATCTAATATAAAATATTAGATAAATAATATTAAATTAAAAACAAACTAAATTTTTAATGTTGCTCTTGCAACTAACTGAAAAAATAAGTTAAAATATTAAAATCACTAAAACTAAAATGAAAAGAAATAAAGCTAAATAGAAATATAAAAAATAATAATTAAAGTACATAACTAACTTACTAAAACTTAAATTAAAATGAAAACTGAAAATATAAAAATACAAACTAATTCAAAATATTAATAAATACTATATAATACCAAAAATAACACTGATTCTCTGTTCCTATTGTCTACCTTAATGCAGAAGACATGCTCTCCTGGAGCCCCGTAAAGTTTACGGCCATTGAACACTGTGAACACATTCAGATCTTCCAGATCTCCGACGAACTGCAGGTGCCGAGGTTCCTACAAACATACATATGCATCCAGATTTGATATGTATGTTTATGTGTACACACACACTTTGTGTGCTGTGTGTGTATGAATGTGTTTTTGTTTGTGTGTGGCACCTTTGACTGTCCTTTGTTGGAGCAGTACAGTCCAGAACGTCGTAAAACAAAATAGAGTTTCTTCCAGGACTTTTTTCCGCCCTCTCTCATATGGAGAAAGCCTTGAATCTCTGGACAGGAGCCACTCTTCACCATATTCTACAAGAGAGACGTTTACTGGTTTTATGAAGACAATAAAATTGCCATTTTAATGTTTTAAAAGCTATAGATCGTCATACCTGCACCAGCTCTGATGATGTCATGCCTTTAGTGACATCAGTGCTGTCAGATATCATGTGCTCTGGGAAAAATAACTGCATAACAGGAAAAAAATTAAACAACTACAAAAAATGTCTACATTTGTTAGTTGTAACCACTTCAGTTAAAAGGATTGTGAACATTTCTATACAAATATATATATATATTTTCAGATAAATTAGTAGGTGATAATGATAATAAAGAGGTTTCATACCACAGGTTTTTTGAAGAACTCATACTTAGCGTAGTTTTTGCGGAAGATCAACTTT